TTTGATCTGAGATCAGAAAAGCTACAGAGAGGAACAGATCAGACTCAACATCGATTAATCACTAAACACATGTGGTGATCAGTTCGTGTGAGCGGCAGAGATGAAGGCAGTAGAAGCGACGCCCAGTTTATCCAGGAACATATTTATGAATTCAGCAGGTTTTTATAAAGATCTGTTCTACGTGTGATGATAGGAAAACGTCAGAGGAGCAGAGTCACTAGTTGACTAGTGGAGTCATGCTGCTCGATGCTGGCAGGGGGAGCCACACTGGTACTGTAAAGACTAAAGATGCAGCTCTCAAGTCTAAACTGAAGTCAGCTCAGTGTGGAGATCAGTGAGGAGATCAGTGACCAGTCATACACTGTCTGTCGCACACCTCTGGTCACAGTGATGCCAAATAAACCATGACTAGAAATACAATTCTTTGATGCATCGCTAATTGTTTTATATTTTGAATCATAGACTTTTGAATAGGAATTTAATTGAGAGGTGCCAAGAGATCCCCCCCTGCCAGTCACCTACACTGGTCATGTGATGTAAACAGGAAGTAGGTTGTCTCCTCTGCAGTTGGTTGCTTAGCAACAGAAACTCCTCTGATGGAGGAGCAGTGATGGTGAAAAGTCAGAGCAGGGATTTCTTTTCTCTGAGCGACGACGAGGTGGAAATGTTACTGACAGGAAGTGTTAGCGACGCTTTGTGTTCACCGCTGAGTGATGACAATTCGATCGATGTGACTTCTGCACTGAAACAAAAATGGCAGAACATAAATAAAAAGGTGCGTTTTGTAAATGAGACAGATTTCAGACGATGCTGAGGCGTTCAGTGACCCGCTGGTTAATCACCACATCTTCACGTCAGTTCTGAGTGGGGGGTTTAGACTGTGGAGCTGCAACACGTGATCAATCAACAGAAAATGTTGGGATCATGAATGATTTGTCTCTGTGTTGTTTTATTCTGGATCCTGTGATTTTTAACGGAGCTTAATGTTCAGATTTTCCTGAATGAAGTCTGGTTATAGAAGCAGCGTCAGACACACTGTCCGACAGGGGGAGGCTGTTATCAGACGTTGAACTCTGTCCTCAGTTTAAAGCCTGAATCAAAGTCCTCACAGACGAACTGCAGCAGGAAGACGTCTTCATATAGATCACATGACCACGAGAAAACCAAACGCTGCTGAAACACTGCGTCTGCAGCTCACACACACACTGATCAGCCCAGTTAGCCCTACTTTTCCTGGACTCTGCTAATAGGATTCCCCCAACACTCACTCCTCCCCCCTCCCAGCATGCACTGCTCAATCCACTCACTTACTCACACACACTTATGAAACCAACACAAACACACACACACACACACACTGTAACCTTACCTGTATGTCCTGGTGTCCTCGCCGCTGCAGCAACGTCCCCTGAGTTGCCGTGGTAACCTCCTTTTCCTTCCTCCCTATTTCGTCCCGTCACTCTCTCTCTCCATTGCAGAGTAACCTTGTTTTATCCTCCCTCGCCCTCCTCGCTCTCTCTCTGATGAACACTTGTTGTCTGCAGCAGAACCGGCTCATTGTGGATTTACTGACTCTACTTGGCTTCTCCTCCTCTGGCTCCTCCTCTTCCTCTTCCTTCTCCTCCTCCTCCTCCTCCTCCTCCTCCTCCTCCTCTTCACCCCTCCTCCCTCCTCCATTTCCGATCTCTATCAATCAGCTGATGTCCGCGCCCCCTTCTTCCGGGCACTCTGCCAGCCAATCCCGTGCTCTGTGGCCTGTAGACCTGAGCTCCATCAGCCAATGAGGAGCAGCTCTAACAGATGGCAGCACACAGCTTAGAGGGGGTGTCAGTAGTGGGGGGTCAAGGGTCAGCTGACCTCCTCGGACTGGGAGCTGCTTTAAAACAACAACATGCAACGTTACATCAGAAACACTGATTGGCTGATTATTCATCCTGAACTCTGCTGACCCGCCCACTGCAGTGATGTCACAGTGCACAGTAGTGGGGCGGGGCCACACATTGTGACTTCAGCATGACGTAAACTTAAAAGGACCAATCAGAACTTTATCTTTCAGCTTCATATGAAGTTAATGTTCCTGAATAACTGTTTAACCGACAGCAGGAATGAACACGTATTAAAGAAATAGAATCTGTGAATGACGTCACGTTACCTGCTCAGTGGACGAGGATATCTATCACCTCAGCTTCCTCCTCCATCTTTTCTGTAATTTAAAAGAAACATCATGTGGAAGTTTCCAAACACATTCAGTGATATTTTTCATGAATAACTAATTAATGTTTAACAGTCATTTGTGATAAAAAATAATCAAATGTGTGGTCTTACCAGTCTCAGAGCAGCTTCTTCCACTGACGTCTCTGGATGTTTCACTTCCTCCTTCACCTCAGTTCACTTGATCTGAACCAGCTCAGATGAATTAAACCGCTGAACGTCACACTTAGCGTCCTCACGGTGACGGTTCAGATCTGATTTCTGGTTCCAGGTCGTTAAAATAACCAGTTTTCTCTGATCACTCTTTTCTCAGGTATTATGTATAGTTAAAATTAAAGCTGACAGTCTGCATCACACTGAGCTTGTGTTACGCCATCAAACATCGTCTGGAACAACCCGAGTCATATTTTCTTTGCAGAGATGAGAAAAATGACAGATTTTTTTTTCTTGGTCTGTCATTTTTCATGAAATGCAAGAAAAACGAGGAGGCACAGTGGTGCAGTGGTTAGCACCGTCTCTTGAGAGGAAGAAGGATCCTGGGGTTGGACCGGGTACACATGTTCTCTCCATGTGTGTGTGGTTGTTAGGTGAAGTGGAGACTCTAAATGGACTGAGTGTGTAAGGTTGTTTATCTCTGTGATTTGCTGGTGACCTGTCCAGTCTTAACCCCGCCTCTATTCCAATGTCATCTGGGATTGACTCCAGCTCCCCCTGACCCTAGATGATGGATGAACTGTGACCATCCTGCAGGAGGCGCTGTGTGAGACTGTGCACCATGACACACAGCTTGAATCAGGATCCAGTCGAGACAACACACACACACACACA